CCCCATCCAAAAAATTCTGATGAAAAATAAGCCTTTCTATTATCAAAAAATTTAGTTGCTGGCATGTCAAGACGAAAATAGATGAAGAATGAAAAGATCTTTGACAGGGAAAACGCACTAAGGGGTAACAACTTTATAAATTTTTCAGAAAACCCATATTTGTTTTAATGGCTTAATAGAAGCTTCGATTCTTCTAGAACACGATATCCAAAATAAATTGTCAAAATCACACTTTGTTTTAAGCGGGATTACCGCTTCATCAATTTTTCGCAATGCTGGTTACACATTTTGAGTGCACTTCCATATAACGGTTCTTAAGAAAAATGACTTGGAAATATGATTTAGTTTAGTAGTGTAGGATATTTTATGACCGTTCTTGGCCGACTATAACGTTTTCCTTTCTTCTTTTCGATATTTCACTTGTCAATGCCTAAAAGCATGTTTTACGCATATCCATATATCTGGGTCAGACTGTCTATCTCGCTTGCTGTTTCCTCTACGTTGACGGCAAAAAAAAAAGATAACTGTCAGTTGTTTTGATAAATTTATTAATGGCAACAAGCAGTAATGTAAATTTATACATTGTCTTAAGAAACCATATACTTCTAGCTTTAGCTTGAACGCAAGAACGGAAGATAATTAAAGAGAGTTAGAATCTAGCACAAATCAAGAACAATTCATTATACTCTATAGCCCTGGAGCAGAAGGACTAATTGAATATTATCCATATCCTTTAGATGTTAAAGAAAGAAAAACATTTATCTCAGGCTCCACTCTCATCTATCTCTTAAGTAAGTAAATAATGAATTTTGGTATTTACATGTGAATGAGAGGCTTGCAAGTGTTTGTTTGAAACCATTTAAAATCGCAACCAACATGTAAGCAACTTTAACTTTGACATGTCAAATACTTCACAAGAACGCTAAGTAATTTCAACGGCAAATAAAATGTTCAAACGTGTAAAAAAAAGAAAATGAGAAGAAAAAAAAAAAAAAAAACAACTTAACCACTAAGCTTGACGTTAAATAAAGTGTTGGCAATTTTCACTCGACTCATAGTCAAAGAAATGACAGTAACGATAAAAAAATCAAAAAAAAAAAAAAAAAAAACAAACAAAACAAAACACATATCTTGAGTTCCAAACATATTGAAGTGATCTAATTTTTTCTTTCTTTTTTTTTTTGGTATTTATTTACTTTTTGCTATTTTTTTTTTTAATTTTTTTTTTTTTCTGTGTTACAAGGCTTTTGTCTGAAAAAGTACTGTTTTAAGGAAATTGAAAGTTTTCTCTTTGTACAAGTGTGTGACACGGAATCGTAAATAATTTTATGTCGATTTTATGCAATTGTAATTATTCACACTAAACTAAAAACTAAAAACTGCAAATAAAACGAAATAAGAAAAAAATCGAAACCGATTTACAAGCAGCATAAGATTTCTTTCTTATTTACAAAGAGAAAATTGGTAACACTTGCACGTTATGGTTATAACGAAGCAAAACGAAAACGAAAAAAAAGAAAACATTTGATATATATATATATATATATATATATATATAGATATTCCTTTTTTTCTACATTTTTTCTTTTCATTTATTTTAAAACGTTTACCGTACCAGCAATCACTGCTACCAGCGTCAATGCTAAAATTTGTAGGAAAATTGAAAATTGAATTTTATGTAAATTGAAATGAAAATTGTCTCTGCTTTACTTTTCTTTGTTATTCCGTTGCATAAAAATATTTTAAAGAAATCAAATAAACGCAAAGAAAAATTTGTTCCTCTTTCGACGAATCTTGTATACCATCCATCTCTCAAACATTTAAATATGAAAACATTATTATTGTTATTATTACTATTATTATTGTAAACTTCGCCAGAGAATAAATTCTGAGACTAAGTCTTAAAGCACTAGCATCTAATAAGGCTTTCGACTTAATTAAAAACTCTACCGCACTTGAGATTTGAACCCACGACCATTGAGTTCATAGTCGAGACTCTTGCCTGCTCGGGCACTCAGGCGGATATCAAAGCATAAAACATTAACAGTTATTTTAAATCGATAAAGATTACAATCGCATTAGAATTTTCTATAAGATTTAAGATCAAATTCCCTCACTTTTCTTGACTTCCTTGAACTTTCTCTTACCCTTACTAGCTTTGTGTAAAGCTAAGCAATGGAACATATTTTAAGTTAAGTTTTACAATCAAGCTAATCGTCCATTTTCTTGAGGTTCAGACAAAGAACTTCACATGTTCGCATTAAAAATTTTTCCACTCACCGCCGTGAAGCACCTGGGAAATAACCACATAGCTTAAAGTTAGTTGTTGCGTGAAAACAACCGAATAGCAAAGCGAAAGCTAAATTTTCCGTACGTGATTACCTCCCCCCCTTTGTTAACTTGTTGAACTTTAGAAGAAGAAGAAGAAGAAAAGTTACAAGTTTGTTGCTGGAATAGAATCAAGTTTGTACAAGTATAGGAGGCAAAACAAGTAGTTTTCAGACTCGCTTCGCAGATATGCTTGTTCGTTGCATACATCCTAAGGGATCCTCTATCCAAACCAATTGAAAGCAAGTAAGGAAACTTGCATTTACTTTGGGATAAATCTTTGTAGCGAACGCTGCAAGCAAATCTAAAAATCGTAATAATTTTGAGGATTGCCCTTCTTTTTCTTAAACGGTACTTTTCAAATGTCCTTGAAATAATGTGTATTCACAGGGAGCTTTTATTATTTCCATATATCCATGTCATTGGCAACAATTAAAGGTTTACTTTTGAGGATTGAACTAATTGTGGGCGCGTTTAAAAGTAAATGAAAAGATGAGCATAAACCGTAGATATTACATAAGCATCTGCTTTCTAACTCGCCTTTCGCAATGGCGGTAGACTATTTCAATACTAGACGAACGACAAATGTACGGGCGGGGGAGGCAGAACATGACATAACGGAGCTGTTTCATATTAGAACGGGTGGCAAAATTAAAATGCTGTTATGCCCCGACTGTGGATATAAAAATAGCAGAGCACATCTTTGTTAACGAAGATACGAGAAGTAACGAGCCATCTTCATTTGGACTTGAGTTGTAATGATTATCAGGATAAATTCATAAAAATCCTTGAGATAATCTTCCACGTGACCGAAAAGTATATTGTTGTCTCCAAGAAGCTGTTTTTGATTTTTCAAACTTTGAAACATTGAAGTCAAGGCATGCACTCAAAGCATTTTTCCTAACTCACTTCTGGAAGGAATCCAATGAGATAAGACCATTGAACTTCCATTTGGAAATCAATTTAGTTTTGTCTCTCATTACATTATTTTAGTGGATTTTCCAAGTTTATATAGTTTGTGTTTATTTATTTAAACATCATGTCTGTGCGGTTGCATTGTTCCCATTAGGGGACAATAACCTCTGTTACTTGTTTCATTTTCGTACAACATTTGCTTATTAACTTTTGGAAGGGTATTAGAGAAAAGAAAAAAAACAGAAAAAAAGGTTTCAGTCGATTATTAATTAATTCATTAAGAAAAATATTTAAATGTTTTTCGATTTTTCTCTTCAAAGTTTGGCGCAACATTAGTCGACAAATTCAATTCTTTTTCAAATTTTGACCTACAAACATTATCTAACAATGCTTCTAAGCCCTAGAAATATATATATAAGAAATCTTTTCCAGTTTCCAAGTTTTTCTATTTTTAAATTTTCTAGTAGTAATAGATGGACAAGTAGAGAGATTGCCACCCAGTCGGACAGACGGACAGACATTGTTTTGTAGATCTGCCATTTTTTGACGTTGTTCAAAAACATTTCTCTCGTGACTTCGACGGCGTGGTTTAGCGACAGAAGCAGAAACAAGAAAGCTCTCCTCGACAATTTTTAAGGCTATAGCCTAGGCTTGCTAAAAGCATTTATTAATAATTAAAATATGGCATTTTCGCAAAAGGTACTTATCTTGCCCGGAATAGAGAAGAGAACAGCAACGAGATATACAACAAAATGGGAAGCGTACAATGAGGCAGGCAAGGGGTTGCATAGACGAGGGATAAGTAAAAGGAGACTAAAGCGATGGGAGGATTAAGAGAATAAATGTAAAAATGAAAGTGTGAAAGCGTTAAGTATAAGAATTGAGAACGCTGGACATGCCGTATTCATATACCCAATACGTTGCTTCTCTAATACCTTGCTCTCTGCTTTTCGCATCTTTTTTTACACACACATACACATGGACATAGACATGTCTTATTTTGATAAACATTATTCCCACACTGTGAATAAATTAAAATCAAATCAAAAATTCAAGATTAACTGTCTGGTCTTCCCTTGTTATCTTCTCCTTTACTCCTCCCATTCCACCGTTTAATATAAACTTATAGGTTAACTCAAAGAAAAAGAAAAAAGAGGCCGAATATTACTTTCGACTCGAACTGAAACTTCTAGTGCCTGTTAAATTAAATATAAGGTGCAATTAAATTACTGTCAATCCATCCTTCGATAATAAGTATAAAAATATCGTTTGTGTGTGTTTGTTTGTTTTTTTTGGTTCCCGTCAAAAGATAATGCACGTGTTTTGTATTACGAGAAATTATTGTAGTTTGTTTTCTTGTTATTTTTGAAAATAATTTTGCAAATTAAGTTGTTTTTCAATTTAGTCGCAAAGTTATTTGTTTTTAGGTGTCCAGCTTAGCAGAAAAAACAACATGTTCGAAAAATTACAACAACATATTGAAAGCATGAAACAAACATATCCGTTTAACAACATAGCCGACAACAACAACAACAAGATTGGCACAAGCACACACACACACAGACAGACACGCACACCTACATATAGCAAAACAAAATTTAAATTGAATCCAATTTGACATAGAAATGCAATGCAATTTGTGTATCAGACCAAGCGCGGAGTTGGTTAATAAAAGCGCCAAAGTCAAAGCGAATTAAATTTGAATTACAAACGAACGCTAATTAATGATATTGTTTATGTTGTTCGTATAATTACAGGATCGTGCTCGTAATGTTTCAGAACGTTTAACCTCAACGACAACGCTAACGGTGAATATTGCCGATTCGGATGATTTGGATCCGTCGTTTATCTATCGTGGTTGCGTTTTGTTAGACGGAGCTTGCATTAATCCAGAATATACGGCCTCAGTACCGGCCGGATCATTGCAGGGTGTTCTCACCGTTACACCCGAACGTATTCAAGCTGTCGATTTGGATACAATTAGTTCACCGATACGTTATTCCTTTGCTAAAGGTATGCCCGGTAATTATGGTGATTACTTTGAAATCGACGAACAGACCGGAGTTTTGAAACAAATCAAAGCAGTTGACACTTCAACAGCCAAGAAATATGATATTATTGTTAAAGCGGAAGAAGTGTCGCAAGCTAAACGTTTCACCACCGCTAAACTGACCATTATGGTTAAACCGGTAGACGCTAATCCACCGATAATATCAGCCAGCTCTACGGAGGGTTACGTTGACGAGAACTCGCCAGTAGGCACAAAAGTTCTCGATAGTCGTGGTAAACCGTTGTCCTTTAAAACTACAGATGCCGATCTTAACGAAGACGATCCCAAGCCGGACTATATTTATGAGCTGACGACGCCTTCATTTGAAGTAACTGCGGATGGCATATTGGTGGTTAATGAAGAAGGCCTCGATCGCGATCCTCCTTCTCCAGGACGTTTTAAATTTCAAGTGGTTGCCAGGGAACCCAAGACGAATGCTGCCAGTGCTCCTCTTAGTTTGACAGTAATACTGCGCGATGTTAACGACAACGCCCCCAAGCTAAATATGGTGCCGCCTGTTTCAATAACTGCCGGAGATGGGGTGCGCAAAGTAGCCCAAGTATTAGCCACCGATAATGACGAAGGCGTGAATGCTGTAGTTAACTATTCTCTTTATCACATCTCCAATAATGGAATGCAAAAGTTTTCCATTAACGAGCAAACAGGAGAAATTGAAACACGTGGACGTCTTTTGGCTGGAGAGCAATACAGCATCACCGTGCAAGCTTCCGATGTGGGCGGACTATCATCTCAAGCCATTGTCGAAGTTAGCGTAACACCAGGACCTAATACTAAGCCACCGAAATTTGCGAAATCCGTTTACGAAGTGCAAGTTAGCGAAGGCGCCGAAATCAATTCTACTGTGGCAGTAATACACGCGGATGATCCAGAAAATGATCCGGTTGTATATTCTATTCTATCTGGAAATGACTTGAGGCAATTTGCGGTTGGTCAAGAAAGTGGCGTTATAGCCGTCATACGTAAATTAGATCGTGAAAGTCTTACGCGTTACCAGTTAATCGTTAAAGCCGAGGATAATGGAGGTTTATCCAGCAGTGCTACCGTTAACATTAAAGTAACCGACATTAATGATAAAAATCCGGAATTCGATGAATCGACCTTACCCTATATTTTTCAAGTGGACGAGGGTAATACTCAGTCTTTTGTTGGTATGGTTCATGCCACCGATGCCGATGAAGGTATTAATGCAGCCATCACTTATTCCATTCCTAGCGACGTTCCTTTCGCTATCAACGGCAAATCGGGCGAGATACGAACATCGGCACAACTCGATTATGAAAAACAAAAGGAATATCGTTTTGTTGTGACTGCGAAAGATGGCGCTCCTGACGCTCGCTTGGGTACTGCCAGCGTTACCGTCATGGTTCGCGATGTACCCGATGAAGTACCAAAATTCATGGAATCACGTATTGATGTACGAGTACCAGAAAATGAGGCTGATATTACAATAGCCACTGTTCAGGCTTTTGATCCGGACACTATACCTGAAATTACTTACGTTATACGTAAAGGCTCTACGGAAATGTTTAAAATTCATCCGAAAACTGGTGAAATTCGTACTACCAATGGTTTGGATTATGAGAAGCAAAAACAACACGAGCTAATTGTTGGGACTATAGAGAACGATGGTAATAGTGCTGGTGACACGGTACGTATAATCGTTGAGGTTGAAGATCGTAATGACATACGGCCGGTATTTGTATCGGTGCCAGAGCCAGTGACCGTAAACGATGACCAGTCGATTGGAGCCATGATTGCCACCATGCCAGCTATAGATGGTGACGGTTCGTCGCCGGGTAATGTAGTGCGTTACGAAATGGTGGGACGGGGAAAAGCATTAAAATATTTCCAAGTCGATCCCGATACCGGAGCGGTGCGCATTAGGGATGAGCTACGTAAAGAAGAGGATACGGAATATCAAGTAGACATCCGCGCCTATGATATGGGAGAACCGCAGCTCAGTTCTGTCGCCACCTTACCAGTATTCGTAAGACATTTGCTAACGGATCCCAATGAAGATAACTCGATGGAAGGTAAAATGGACAATGGTGTTATAATGTCACCCGAAAGTCTCGGATTAGCTTTCAGTGACGACAGCTACACCACCGGTGTACCAGAGACAACTGGCATAAATGCGACTATCAAACTTATACAAGTTATCAATTCGAAGAAATCGGTTCGCAGTAATCCTGGTTTCAAATGTGAAATCGTCAAAGGCAACGAACGGGGTCTATTTAATGTGACCGTTGAAGATCACGGTTGCGGCATACAATTAATTGAACATTTAGATTATGAAAATAAGACCACTTACTCTCTGCAGATCCGCTTAGTATCGCACAAATATTTCATTAATCCTCAAAAAAGCACTACCAGCGTTAAAATTATAGTTCAAGATGAAAACGACAATGCGCCACAATTCGTTTTTAATCGTTTAAAGGGACGAAAAGAAACTTTCTATGCCGTGGTAACGCCGGAAATGGATATTGATACGCCTATCTTGCAGGTGAAAGCTGTCGATCGTGATTCCGGCAAATTTGGTATGATCCGTTATAAAATCTTCGACGAAGATGACAACAATATAAGTGATGAGAACTTGGTAAGCCATTGTAGTTATGATGGAATTTGAATGTGTATTAAAACTACACATATATATATATATATATATATATATATATATATTTTTTTTTTTTTTTCTCTCTAGCCCACCACCTATTTTATTATGACTGAGGACACGGGCATATTGAAAACTGCCAAATTGTTTCGCGATCAAGCACGATTTCCTATGATCTTTTATGTAGAAGCTCGCGATAACGATGGCCAAGAAATGGGCTCTCATCGTACGCGAGCACGAATTGTGATTAATCAAATCACGGATAAGAATCGCTTATCCTTGGTTTTCTCGGATGCTACTCCCAACGAATTGCGCAATCATTTTGCCAACCTAGAGGAACTTTTCTCCGAAAAAACCGGCGGCTTAGTTAGTGGCATCGAACGATTTAGTAATCGAAAGTTTTTAAATGAAAACGGTAGCATTGTAGAGAACCCTGCAGCTACAGACGTTTGGTTCTATCTGATTGATCCTAAAAGTGAAACGATTTTAAGTCGTAATGCCAGCGTTATCGAAGAAACTCTTTTAGAACCTAGTGCCCGTTCCGAATTAAACTTTGCTGCTTCCGGTTTGGCCCGAGCAACTGCGGAAGGTATACATTCCCCAATCGAACTAAGGCAACAGGTTCACAAGGTATAAAGAACAGATTTTAAGAGAAACGCAAGTAAATTTTTTTAAAAAAATTATTTTATTTTGATTTAAGGTAAAAGCGGCCATAGCCATTAACGATGAAGTCTTTCCCTACACCCTAATTGCCATTTCCGTAATTATTTTAATTTTGGGTACTATTGGTATTATCTATATATGCATTTCCTGGTCCAAGTGAGTTTGGAAGCACAAATTTTTTTTAACATCAATTTTCTTATGCACAAACACACACACACACACACACACATCTTCCAGATATAAGAATTTTAAACAACGCATGCGTCAATATTCAACGCCCAGCCCTACGCGTTATGATCCGGTTATAATCAACTCTCAAGTACCTAATGGTGGGGATGCTGGCTCCAATCTAAAAGAATATGAAACTCAAGTTTTGGCAATGGCTGTACCGCCCGATGCTGATGACGAAATGCAATTAGATTATAGCGCTAAGAATCATGCTTTCTCCTTGGATAACGTAAGCTATATAACGCATAAAGATCACAACGGCAGTACAAATGGTGGCCAAGCGAGCCCATCACATTCAGAAGCCACTACGGCCACTATTGCTACACTAAGGCGTAATAATAATAATAACAACAATTTGAACAATATGTCCGCCAATAGTAATATTAATAATCATACGTTAAATAATCGCCAAAGTACGTTTAATGTACGCAACAACAATAATCCGCTGGCGTCGGGTATGAATGGCACGCTTACTGGTACCTTAACGTTGGGTCGTATTAAACATCAGAATAGCAATCATTATCAGAATGGAGGCTACAAAATGGATGCGGTTAGTAGAAATAATTTAACAAATTTACAAAATAATGCGTACAGTACACTGGGACGAAGGGGTAACACATTTGGGAATAATTCGAATTTGAATGGCGGTAACTTAAGTCGCGGTGAAGGAGAGCAGGGGAACCTAAGTGGTGAGCTGATGACCAATACTTTGGGTCGCCAACAGCATCAGCATACAACTATAAATCGTACATATAATGAAGTGCCAATAGCCAATCCATTATTCCAAAGGTAAGTTGAACGGAGATTACCAGAAGAGAAGACTTTATCTTTACACTTGCCTCCAATAGATCAAGATCTTTTTATTGGAGGGTAATTCGGCTTATTTCCGCATTAGTAGACATACATTAGTTTGGGATTTTGAGCCAAATGAATAAATGTTTGTTGTCTCACATATCTATTAGTGGCAGCAAGATAATATGGCAGCGAATATTGGGTTAGGCAACAAACACTTAAGTAATGTGCATGCTTAGGCATAGGTAGACTGTTGATATCAAATTGAAATGAGCGTTATCGGGCATCAAAGATACCAATGGCACTTAGCCAATAAAAAATTTTAAAGCAAAATATGTTCGAAATAACTTCTAGAACACAATTTTGATATCAAGCAAAATATTCCCAAGTCCCAAGAATCTAAAACTCTTAGCAACATTTATATATTTGGTTAAAATTGAGGAATTATTTCTTCCTTTTTTTTTTTTTTTAGATCTGATTTAAGTCATGTGAGCAGCACCAATGAAAATGTTTCATTTGGCAAACGTGATTACGGTCAGATGGGTTTTTCGTATCTCAATGATTTGGATCGCTCTGAAGTGGAAACGACAACGGAGCTATAAGTTTTTACAAAAATTACTACATGTTACTAGATAAGCTGTAAATAATTTAGAAAAGTTATTATTATTAAAAGACATTATCCAACCCCCCAAAATAAAGCCAAAATCTATTTCGTTAAGTTAATATATAAAGAATATAAAAATGAAGAACGAAATTAGAAAACTTTTCTGTTGCCATTAAGTTAATTATAAAGTTAAAGTTAATTTTTTATGTGTATATATATGTAATAAATTTTTTTAGTTAGGAGAGTTATAAAAATAAATTTTTAATTAGTCATTAACCTAAGTTTTTATATACGTTTCTATTTAGTAATAATTAAATGCCCATATGTGATTTATGTGTAATATTTAATAATTATTAATTTTTAAGAAATTTTATAAAATTGCTGTTATATATACGTATGTTTGTATACATATATTTATATATATATATATATATATGTATGTATAACCGCATGATAATGTATATTTTGTATCATTTTTAGTTAATTCAGTAATTATCTGTTCAAATATATATAGAAAACTACAAACTTTTTTTGTAACTTTTTGATCGAAAAATGACAACAAAAATTTTTCATAAATAAAAAAAATTCTAGTTAAATAATTTAAAAAACGTCTTGTTTTTGAAAAATAAATATGTACATCTTCAGATTCTTCTGGATCGTTCAAAACAGTTGAAAACGGAGGCCTTTGTAAAATATTCATTATTTTAGCCGTTAACTGATTGTTCCCTTTACATGGTTTATAAAAACAAGGACCATATGTTGAGAAGGGTATGGAAATTGGAATGAAAAACATGAAAAATTGATTACAAGTAATGAGGGGCATGGGGGGTATGCACGCTGACGATTAAATTTTAAAAGAATTTTGTAGAATATATCAAGTGAATGGAGCTTCAATCTACTTTATGATCAAGTAAATATATTTTCCGGGTCTTTTTCTTGCTGTTCAAATATTTTGACTGAAATTGATTACAAATCAATGAGGAGTGTATGGAAAATATTGAATGGCACACGATAGCAATAAGATACCCTTTGGTTCCGCTATGTTCCGCTTCGATATGGATTAGGGCCAGGATGTGTTATGTTTGTAAATACATTTCTATGTTGATTTCTATCACTTTTCATTGGATCAATTTTGTTTTTATAGCTATGAATTACAACTTGATCCTCCAGTTCCAAGATAAGGTTTAGGCAAGTTTATGATGACTATCTTAGAAAAATGTGGTTCCTTTTGGAATATGGAAAAAGTGATTTTGACTATTTTGATAAATAATGATAGTGCTGGGACATTCTTTCGAACCATAGGCTATACTTTAGACCATACAACGGCGGATGTCTTAGAAAGAGCTGATTATGAAATTTTAAGTAAATCCGTTCCACCACGATTATTTAAAATTTAGTTAAATAAGATGAAAATGAATTTATTCAACTCTTATTTAAAAACTCTTTGCAAATTAAAATAAATAAGAAAACATTTAAAAAAAACACTTAGCTTGCTCTTCCATGTACTTAGCCATGCGTATATCGCATTCGCTAAGACCAGCTACATCATGGCTGGACATGGAGACTTGAACTTTATTATAGACATTAAACCATTCTCCATTGAGAATAGAAGAGCACAGAGTGGTTTTCAATAAATTACAACGCTTCGAATGCTGTTCAAGTGATACAAAAGAGAACCGCAAATCTATTAAATAGAAATTACAACAGAAATTTAGTGAGCAAATCTATCGATGTATAATTACCACAGAAATTAGGAAAGTTTCAATTTTGTTCTTCCGGCTTAAACGCTATTGTCTCAGATTTAAAATTATGAACTCTTTCGAACTTCCTCCATAATAAACGTTCGAATACTCTTTGCACTTGAAAGTCGAGAAAACATTGCTTTTCACTCGTCTCTCAGTGCAAATTTACTTTGCTCGTTAGTTTGCTCCTATCAACGTTATGAGTGACAATGTATTGGTTTTTCTTTAATCATGTGTATATATAACTTTCTTCAGTTTTTTTAAGGGTGGCAATGCCAATTTATATTTTCACTATAAATCAGCTGTTTATAGCTGTTGTCTTTTTTTTTTCATCAAATGTTATATAGTTTTTTTATATAAATGAAACGATTTTTTGCATCATATAACGCAATTTTTTCAAAAATATCTATTAATTGTTAAGCAATTATTTGTAATAAAGTTGTTTATTATTGCGTAAGCACTACAGGGAAACCTTTGGCTTATCAGCAGACTTAACTGATAACCTATCGCCTTTAATTGTATACAGTAATTACTTAAGACTCCTTTCTTTAGTGTTTATTAAAGTTATGTTAGACGAGAAAGTTGGTTTTATTGGTGGCGGAAATATGGCTTTTGCCATTGGTTCTGGTCTAATCAATCGTGGTATTATCAAAACCAGTCAAGTTCTAGTATCAGGACCAACTCTGGAGAATTTGCAACGTTGGCGTGATCTGGGTGTTGCGACAATTACTGATAATAACCATGTAGTGGATGAAATGGATATTATATTCATTTGTGTGAAACCACACATACTTAATCCGTGCGCTGAAGACTTGAAAAAAAATCATCGTGCTAAAAGCAAAGATATGAATAAAGTCTTTGTTTCAGTATTGGCTGGAGTTAATTTGAAAGATTTAGAAGCAGTAAGTTTTCATAGCAAATTATGAGTAGCGATCTCATAAACTGTATTTTTTCTCTTTTTAGAGTTTTAGCTTCATTATCAATGTAAAAATGATACGTTGCATGCCCAATACGCCCATGCAGATTAGTGAAGGTTGCACAGTTTATTCCTCCGGGTCAAATATTGAGCCGCATGATTTGGAAAAAGTTCATATCATTTTAAATTCTTTGGGCGTTGCTCAACATATACCAGAATCGATGATAAATGCCGTTACCGGTTTATCCGGTTGCGGTCCGGCATTTGTTTACACAATTATTGAGGCTTTAGCCGATGGTGCTGTAAAAAATGGTGTTCCCCGGCAAATGGCTTTACAATTTGCCGCACAAGTGGTCGTGGGTGCTGCAAAAACTGTTATGATAACGGGAAAACATCCCGCCATATTAAGAGATGAAGTATGTTCACCGGGCGGCGCCACAATTGCTGGCGTTCATGAATTGGAAAAGGGCAATTTAAGGTATTTTATCAAAAACCAATATATGCAAACTATTTATTTATTTTTTTTTTCTCTCAGAGCTACTTTAATGAATGCCGTGGAAATGGCTTCACAACGATGTGCGGATTTGGGTCGTAAAGGTAAATAGTTAGCTTATTTGGATCGCTAGTACTGTGTTATGTTTTCACAAAATAAACTATTTTCTGTGTTAAATCCTATATTTGTGTTAATTTCTGTCTTTAATTAACAATGCAAGAATCGTTTATATCTAATCATTAAAAGTAAATATAAAATAATCTATTCACGATCTTTTTTACTGACATATTCAACACACTTAGAAGGATCTGTCGGAAAATATTCTTGGCATTTGGTCATTAATCTCTTTAATCCTTGAATATATTTGCGCTGAGTTTCGTCATTCATTACGTGGGCAACATTTTTCGAAAAAATTTTCTCTCTGCCTGTGCGTGCATGTATACCCACCATTGTCACTCCGATAGGCCAAGGCGCATTTCCAATAGCCATTTCCAGATAAGCATCACTAGCTGCTATATAATTTCGATTCAGTAAATGTTTACATATGTCCCGTAAACTTTCTAAAATGTCTTCAGGCAATGTACGATTTTTCAATTTGCGAAACAATGGTTTAACATATTCTCGCGTTTGAGTGTAAATAACGCGCGTCATTTTCACTTTTGTAGACATTTTCTCTTGCTTCGAATAGTTAGAAATCTGATCATTCCACAATTTAAGCAAATATGTTAACAATATAATTATTACATCCATATCATAGTCTTTATTATTGTTACGACCCATTTTGTAAGCCATTGTTTGTATATGCTCCCAATTGACAGATTCATCTAATTCAGTCAAATCGGATTGTTTCTCTTCCTTTGAGGCGGGTGTATTAGCAAACATTTCCTGCAAATAAGCTTGATCAACTTGTTCCATGGCCTCTTGAAAGTCGTTACGAAAACCCCGATTTGCTTCTGGTTGGGAAATCTCACATTGACGTAATCTGTAGAAAGCTTGAAGTTCGGTTTCCCCAAACAATAAAATCGGTTCACCTCTTTCGCGCAATCTTCTCGTCACCTCGATCCTCGGCAGAATGCTTTGGTTATCGCTGGAAAACTGATAACTGCCATCTTGTATGCCTTGATCTGATTCTTTACTTTCCTGAGTTTTATAGCCTACTTTCTGTAGTATCTCTTCCGTATTCTTAGCCAGGAGCTCACCACGTTGAAAATATTTTTTCTTTTCATCCACTAAATGTTTCTCTTCCAAAAATTTACGTTTTCTAGCAATTTCTGCTTTTAATATATCCATTTTGTGTATGTTTGTAAGAAGTTACTTTATTTATTTATTTATTTATTTCTTTTTTTGGGTTGTTGAGTAGAGAGAACTTGCTTGAAAAAATTTATTTGTCAATATCAATGAAAACAGATGCTTAAATAATAACAAACGTAGAGAAAGCTTTTACACATTCCGGCGAATTTTCGGTTATTAATTTGATGATTAACAGAAAAAGAAGAAGCTTTTACATATTTAGGGTTGCCATTCTTCACATTACTCTATGAAAATTACCAACTACGAAATTTACCAAATTTAACTCTCAGAATATATCTTATTTTTTTAGATAATGCAAATTTTGAATTCTGCGGAGGATGTTTATAATTTTAGTACAATTTTTGAAAAATGGTTTGGATGATCACGATATACTTTTGTAATATGACGATAAAAAAATTTTAATGGTTTCGACGATGAGTTTGGTGACACCAAGAAAAAATACATAGAAAATTGAGAAGGCTTGGGTCCATTTTTCGGATGCAGAACATAGCAACGAACATACCATATCTAGTCAGTCTTGATTAAACTCTTTTTAACAAGAGCAAAGAACGAACTTTTGTTTGAAAGAAAAAAGCGAAAAATTGCGACTGTTATTTTACTACTGCCAAAGGAAAGCTATGAGGGAAAACCTAAAAAGAAAAATAATATAAACGTTTCAATGCACTAATAGCGGAGCATTTGTTTACACAATTATTAAGGCTTTAGCTGCTTTAGATAGTGCTGTGGGAAATAGTGCTCCCCGACAAATGACTTCACAATTTGTTGAACGAGTAATCGTGGATGCTGCAAAAACAGTTATGATAACCAGAAAACATCCCGCCATATTGAGGGATGAAGTATATTGACCGGGCGGTGCCACAATAGTTAGCAGAGCAAAGTGGAAAGATGATAAGTTAAGTAAAAGGATCAAACTCGCTTCATAATCAAATCTTTTACAAAACCAAACGGGCGCGAGAAAAGAAATGCTTTCAATCAAGAAACAGGCGAAGAGAGAAAACCTGAACTAACAGCATCAGTCAGTATGGAAAAATACACACACAAACTAGTACCGAAATATAGGAACGAACACGATATTGAACCTAACGGTGAGCAACAAAAATTGAAAATAGCGCTTTTGTTTAATCAAAATTAACCGTATCTGACAGGTCAGCTGCGAGTTGAAATTTTTATTCGATGTAAGTTTTTACATGAACTAGTTATAATAAAAAAAAGCAAGCTTAAAGCTTTCTTTTAAAATGTTGGGAACAAAATTACTGTGCACTTTAGAGGAAATATAAATATTTTAAGTTTAAACCAGAGGAATTGTGTTTAATTCTTGCAAAAGTAACCCTTTAATTAATACCACTTCAAACTCAAGTAGAAAAAAGGCGGCATTATCGGAGTAAGAGGAAGAAGAACATCTGATTTCCAGAAGGAAAAAATGCTAAACTTCAGGACGACCAAAACGATATTTACGAGAAGCATCTAATGAAAATTAGAAACGTTATTACCAACGGAGAAAAACCTCATCGATACTTAAAATACAAAAAATCAAATGTGGAAATCACTTAAAGATATTCCCAATGCGGATCCTATTGAAGAAATGTCTTTGGAAGATCACTGTCAGTAAAAATACCTCTTAGTTTTCGGTGTGTGGCGACTAGTTTTTGATTTAAGCGTTTATTTTTATGCAGTTTCTTGATTTTCCGCATGGGTGACGATTGGTTGGAATTTTTTTACTTAGTTCAAAACCAAGGAGACATTGAGAATATGCTGGAGTTTAAAAAGAAAAAAAACTGATTTGGCTAGAGAAACAGCTGGCTAGTTTGCGAAAATGTGGAATTTCGTTGCTTCACCGAATGCTTTTTCGTTCACCGCTTTTTCGATACATTAGAAGGGGCTGGTGAAATGAAATTGGTAAAAAGTCACAATTTGTTTTTCTATTTTGTGAACGGAAAAAGTTTATCATCGATAAGCCCAACTTTTTCATTATCCAATGATTTTCATCTTTAAGAGAGATTAAAATTAGATTTTATGTTGTTAACAGGGGTTAAAATTAGATTTTATATTGTTAACATGGATTAAAATTATATTTTTATATTTGAACTTAGCAGCTCTGTTTAAAATTCCCATAATTAAAATTGATAACCATATGATACGAGGCAACTTTGTTGTTTTTTAAAGTGCCAAACATAGAAACAAAAATTGCAAAAAAGGAAAATTTTTTCCTTTCAGAGATTTACCCAAAACTTTTCGGCTAACGTACTCTTGTTTGTTAGAACGCGTTGCTTGTTCCTTTAATATTCGCTTGTGTTTGATTATCGTAAAATTAATTGCAAAAAATGCCTAAAAAGATGGGTATAAATTCTAAGGCAGTTGAAGCGCGTGAACGTAAGGAAGCGACAAAGAAAGCTAATCAGGAACGTGCGGCTAAAGAGGCAGAAGATCGTATGTGGGAAGACGAAGACAAAGGTCTGGCTCGTAAACAGAAGAAGCGTGAAGAAGAGGAACGCAAACGTGCCGAAGCATCGAAAAGGAAAGCAGAAGCTAAAGCTTTATTAGATCAAGAAATGTCTTCAATCCGTACACAAGGTAAACAACCCTTGGCGAAAATAAATCGTCAACAAATTTTGGAAGAAATGGAAAAGAAGCAAAAAGCGCTCGAAGCGATGACCGTACCAAAAATCACTTCTCGTGTGGTAGTAACTTCTCCAATTATTGAAGAAAATCTGAACCGAGCAATGGCCGATATAGAAGTGGCAACTAATGTGGACGAAGCTTTGGCCGTATTAAACTTAAAGACTGAAGAAGAGGATAAGCATCCCGAACGACGTATGCGCGCGGCCTATCGAGCCTTCGAAGCCGCAAATCTGCCTCGTATTAAATCTGAAAATCCGAACCTGCGTTTATCACAATGGAAGCAATTATTAATGAAAGAGTGGAATAAGTCATCAGAAAATCCTTTCAATCAAACGCAATGAATTATGAAAATAAGATTCATTAATGGCAATTTTCCTTTTTTTTTTTTTTTGTAGCAAGCAAATCATGGCAGTTCTAGTTGTAAACATAGCCATATAAAAATTTAAATTATGTTTAACATTTTCAATAATAAATATTTATTAAATAACGATTATATCACTAAAATAGTACATTGAGTATTTTAATTACTTCAAATAAGCCTTCGTATAAGAATAAGCGAGATAATTAGATTCAGCAAAACAATTGTGAGTGAAATTAGGAAGTCATTGTTCAAATATTACCGAGACTTGCAATGCATCGACGTGAATGCGTTTTGCGCGTTTGAGATATTGTATCGATCATCCTGTACATAATTTATCATTGCATATGGCGCTGTCATCATTTATTCCTTCTCAAATCTAATAGACAAATATAAACCTGATATTACACCTGTATATATTTCCACGCTAAAAAACTAGAAACTAAGGCAAGTAAAGATCTCATAGCGGGCTGAAGACCCCACACTACCGCGCTTAATACAATTAATTGCATAACAATGCTTCAAAAAAGGCGTTGTGTAGAAAATGGTTGAAAAAGTGGTTCAATGCGAACTATTTTCAATCCATGCTGAACGACAAACGAAACATGTCACATAAGGCAGACAGATAGACATACAAGCATAGAATCACTTCCTGGAACGATCAGTATAATAAAATGTCGCTCTATTTCAAGTCTTTTTGTGTATTGTAATGCAGCTGAAGTATAAAAAAATCAACAAATCTCAAGTGGGAAAAAATTGAAAGAATTTTTCAAAATTCATACAATTAAAAAAGAAATAATAATAATAATAGACAAAAAAAAAAGGTCAAGAGAAAAAAATTATCACGATGGCCTTGTCAACCTTAAGAGGCGAGAAAGAAGGTAAGCATCTCGAACGAATTGAACGCGCAGCTTATAGAGCTTTCGAAGCCGCAAACCATCTTCGCATTAAAGCTGAAAACCCGAATTTGCATTTATCATGATGGAAGCAATTGTTATTGAAACTATGGAATAAATTTTTATGAAATCATCCTTCGAATGCTAACAAAACTGCGAGCAATTTGTCATTGTTACTGAAATACTCGCTCAAGAAACTAAAAAGAAGTTTTTCTGTTTTGCTTACGGTGTAATTGAACCATAAAGTAACGTAGAGTCACTAACTCAACTCTAGCACAGATTAACGTCTTAATCCGAAAAATGTCTCCTTATAGCGCCTTGCAAATTGTCATCAGTTTACTAATCAATTGATTTCTATGTAAATCACTAGCAGTTCGGTGTGCTTTCTTTAGCAGCAACGATGAGATTCATTCTAAGCTGCAACGCCCATCTGGAAGAAGCTTTACAAGAGCTGGCAACGATAAAAGGTTCGATTCTGTCTACTAAAGGAAGTTCGTATTAAAATTGAACAATGAATGTCAATAGCACGGAGTGGAGTTGCTTTGCAGCTCGAAAAAGCATTCCTGCCACATCCAGCTTACTCACCAGACATGGTGCCTCCTGATTATCACTTGTTCAGACTGGTGCAGCTTGGCTTGGCTGGTACGCGGGGCAAACAAAGTTGAAGGAGTGCGAAAATGGATCGGTGAGTGGATCACTGCCAAACCAATATAAGTTCTTTTGCCATAATACTGCCTGTATTGTCAAAAATATTGTAAAATGTTGTAGAAGATGATGGAAACTATTGTGATTTATATGTACTGTACCCATTTTTCACAATAAATGCCTTTTTCAAGTGAAAGAGTGATCAAAATTTTTGCAAACACCTACTAATTATTAAATCTTCCGCTAAGTCATACTATGTTTTGATGCTTGTCTGGCTTAAACTATCTATGGTTTCTAGGCTTCACACGCTCTTCAACGTTAACTGAATACTGAGTACATTAAAATAAGTCCTAATTGGTGTTGACATAGTTGTTGACATTTTAAACATTATTTGACTTAACTACATTTTGGCAACGATGCATTTATAAACACATTTACCTGCGGGCAGTGAAAGGTGCCAAAATTGTGTTAATTACCATTTTTGTCTCCATATAGAGAAGAATGCCGTCTCCATCATCCGCCTAACGTAAGAAAAAAGAAGAAGTGTTTCTCAATTGATTGCAAGCAATGACAAGCTACTTAGCAATTTCTGATTGATCGAGTAAGACAATTTTCCTGAAGCGATAAGATGGATAAGCTTGTAAAAGACTTCGTTAGAGGTACTTGGATTGCAATGACTTCACTGCAACTAAATTTGCAATGTGCGGAAAATTTCGCCAATGAGGGCGAACGAGAAGATTTAGCAGCTGGCCGACAAAGGAAATTTTAGTAACGACAAAGCTCACTATTGGGTATGGGGTATTAAAATCAAACACATCTACTGAATGGCCTCGAAGGTTACGAAATAGATTGATCGACGACAGGGCAAAATACTGAACAAGAAGGACCAAAATGTCAATAAAAAGTTATTTTTCTTGCTTTTTCGAGGAGGCAGCGGACAAGCGATTAGTTGGCGAAAATAAGCTAAGCAAAGTAATTTAAATGAAATGAATAGCCCGTAGCAAGGATAACCGAGCACTTATAGAATGGAATAAATCTTAACGTTTGAATAAATATTGGGTTGTTCAGAAAGTCATTTCATTTTTTTTCCCCCAGCCAAATTCACATTTAAGGCAGATAAGGTTAAGGTTAAAGTGATGTTTAAGGAAGGAAAAATTATTGGTTGCGTACAAAGGTAAGGAAAATTTCATTTCGATGCATTTGCGTCATCTTCTGGAAGGACATTAGGAGCTGCTAAAGGCAAAATAATGCAATGACAACTCGTGAGATCACCGAGAATCTAAATCTGTTGAATTATGTTGCTGTTAATGGAATATTTGCACAGAGTGAAGAAATCGGGTTTTGATGAAATTTTTTTCCGAATCAATTCGGAAAAACGATCAATTTAGGATAGATTGCGGAGGACATTGGTTTCCTTGATCATGAATAATGAAAATTAATATCAGAGGCGATGCTGGCTTAAATAAAGCAAATTAAATCTATAACAAGACTCAGCTATGCCTACTTACGGTTGATCGCAACGATCAGAGTCTCCGTAGATTTTCAAAGAAATATCATGCCTGCCCAAGTCATGACAAATGATAAAGAGCATCAAAAGGGGATTCATTTTGTCAGCGAACAAACCTAATTTGACTAACTGGATATATGATTCGCAAGAACGAAAACTTCTCAGCTTGATCAGGTAAGACTTTAATGATTGAAGTCGCCAACGACGGTGCACTTACTTCGATGATTGAATTTATTGCGTGTTTAGCTTACGTAATTGGTATCGAAGAGGCGAGTAAAGCTCTCCTTTTCCTTTTTTTTTTTTTTTTTTTTGTTACATTTTTACGTAAAAGTATCTCATAAAAATTTATATAAAGACTTGATTATGCGAAATAATTAATATTCCGCCGCTTATGTCTTGATCTAATTATGTGTGTTAAGTTTTATAGCACTTTAAAGCGAGACGCAATTATTGTGAGACATTGTATGTTCCGCGACAGCGGTTGCCCTGCATTATAAATAGAAGTGCTTTTTTTTTTTTTTTTTTTTTTTTTTATTAAACAAAGCTTGAATAAAATTTTGAAAATGTGTTAATAGTAAGTAATACATTTACATAATATCTTGCGCTTTCACTCTTATTTTAGTGCAATTTACTGATGACGAATATATATATATATTTAATAATTTGATTTGAGCGAAAGTTAAATTAGCGGTTAAGTCGTTCCAATATAATATTAAATTTATCAAGAATACATTATACATATATTTATAATATTTAGATTCGTATTAATTGTGATTCTTTTTTGTGTAGAAAGAATGAATAAGAAAGCTAGATCAGAGAGATACTATCTTTATAAATATTTAGTGAAAGGAGAATTTTTATGAAAAAAAAAAAACACAAATACGCGTTGTTCGCGTAGATAGATATAACTTCAAATTGTATGCTTTGATACGAAATATTCAATTTTTGATGCACTTAAAATTCAATTTTTTATGATTTGCTCTCGATAATGATGATCCCGTACAGATAAGTAGTAATTAAAATTAATTAAGAGAAAGATTTAGTGAAACTCTCAAGCAACGAAAACGGATAGAAAGTATGCGCGCACATTACTCCAATTACAAATGTTAGTATTGTTCCAGTGAGTTGAAAAAGATTTCGTTAATTTTAAGTGAAATAAAGAGGGAAATAAAAAAATTTAATTAAAAAAAAAATAAATAAAAGATTTTAAAGCTGAAAATTAAATAAATTATTCGCATAATTTATTTGAAAATTTGAACTGAAAATCAAACTAAATAAGCGAATCAATAAAATAGTTAGACTTATTTAGTTTTAACTTTTCCTTATAAAATAATGTAATTATGTATAACGATATATTTTAATTTTGTATATAATATAATTAAATTATACCCTATGCAATATCTGATAAAACAATCTTTAAAGAATTTATTTTTCTTATTTTAAATTCATCGCAATTCAAATTTAACAGACAATTATTTAAAAATTTTTTTTTTTTTTTTTTTTTTGAGCCGATAGCCTGTGTTGCTAGTGCTCAATGTATTTTTTTAGTCTAAGAATTTATTTCATTAGTCTAAAATTAAAATAATAATAATAATAATAATTTTTTTTTTTTTTTTTTTAAATATTATCAATTGATTTAATTTTTTTTGTTTAACTTTTTCTATTTTTTTTCTATAGCACGGGCGAACAATAAAAAAAAAAATCATCTTTTATTCCTAGGAGAAGCACTGAGGGGGATTGATTTTTCCTATTTTTGTAGAATAAAGCGGGAAATTCATATCGTGTACCGTGCAACAAGCAACGGCTAAAAAACACTGCAAGCAAGGTGCTCTTAGTTTCTGTTGCATTGTAGATGTGCTTCCTGCAAATCTTTATTTTTGCGACTGGGGTAATGCTTACCACAGACAGTAAGTACCTGAGCAAACAGACGAATAGACAGATGAACAGACGGACATGCTTTGACGAATTGAAAATTTCACACTGATGAAGGATGTACCTAAGAGGTTTTTGAAGCTTCTTTCTCGGCGTTATAAAGGTTTTAATAAAACAAACATCTATTTATAGATTTTAGTATTCAAACAAAATTTTCTGAATTATGAAAACCTCGCTCAATAAATAAACAGGATTTTTGCAAAATACATACACATACACGCAAGCCTAAGAAATTTACTAGCAATGTTAAATAACATTTTGCTTACATTTTGCATATACATACCGAACTGATATATAAGTGTATCATCGTTTTAAGCACTTACCTAAAAGAAAAAGAAAAGAAATTTGATTAAATTATAATATAAAACATATTAAAATTTTTAGCTAATGGCAATCCAATATTAGGAATTTATAAAAAAAAAAAAAAAAGGCAAAATTATATTCTATTGGTATTACATATAAAGACCAATGTTAAGTAACAAAGTTTACTTATATTGAAGGTACAAAAATTATCTCATTCCACCCGAAATTTCTTCTTTCGCTCGGTATGAAAAAATATATACGGGTTCCTTGAGAAATATGAAAAATGCAAATCTTTTCGAAACTGCGGCATTTTATTGATGGAGCTATGATAAGTATAGTTCAATGCATTTTGAAAAGTGTTCAGCCTTGAGCAGGAGCAAGTAAAGGTACTTACTGGTATTTAGCGATCTGCATCAACTTAATGTACATCCTACCGCTGCTAGTAATTTTGTGTTCTTTTATTTATCACCAAAAGGATGGAGGGACATTCGTCAAAACCTTTGTGGAACTCAGATGAAATAAACCTTCTTAGTAAACCCCTCCCACAAAGTATATATATTCTTGATTAGTATCAAATTTTCAATCGATCTAAGCATATCTGTCCGCTCATCTGCCTGTCTCTGTGTGTTAAACACTTGTCTGCCTCCATTGGGATTAACACTTTTAGCCCACAAACCACGTCCAAAAGTTATTTTCATTTACGTAAAAGCTATTTAGGAAAGTCAGATGTGTTTTCTGCCAACAACCCTTATATATGTACACCCAAATATAAGCTTTATTCCGCAGGCATGAAACGTAACCGTTGGTCCATTGTTTTCGTAATAATTCGTATGCTGCACAACTCCGCAAGCAATGGCAGAATCTAAACAATATATTGGGAAATGAATTGTCCAAAATTCAATTATTTACGCTTGCTTCTGGAACCATGAAATGGATGATCCTAGACTCTACAACCCTTGTTGTACAAGGATATGCTAAGTTTGTGTGATTTTATGCGGCACATGGAAAGAAAGACCGAAGAGAGGTCCGCCTTTTATTGTACCAAACTTGTCTGTCCGTCTATCCGCCTTGTATTCTTGTGCTTAAGTTGGAATTTTTAAGATATTTTCATGAAATTTTGGTGCATTGACGAAATTTGGCCCACCGACAAACGCTAGCTATTGAAAGTGGTTCGAATGGGACCACTTTCTCGACCACTTCTCATATAAAACATCCATTTGAAAAGTGATTATATGAATAAATTTCGGATGGTGTAATGATGCTAAATGAGGGCCCCCGACCCGCTATAATGTTTTTATTTGCTTTACCTGTTGTTTATATTACTACTAATTATTGGCTTGTAAAAGAGTTTTCATATAAATGTTTGTTTAAGCAGTAATTCATTTATAATATAACCTGAAATGAGATAAATATTTACACCTTGATGCCTAGATATTTATTTACTTTTTGTTTGCTGCTTAAAAACTCGTAAAATCTATGTAAACAAAATAACATTTTACTAACTAAACTAAAGATATATAAAACTTTAAGGAAAGTCATTAGCAAAATAAGTAACATAGACTGCCGTGGCTGGCAATTGCTGTAATTAAAAACTTGTGTGATGCACTAGTGGAGTGTTATCTGTTTATATGCGATAATAAAAGAGAAATAATACTCTAACTGCGGCGCATATAACGAAAGCTGCTAAGAAAGCAGCGCTCGCTCAACATGTAATTCCAAGTGGAAGAAAGGCAAACACACAAGTAGCAAGCAAGGGAAACAAGAAAGAGTAAGAGAAAAAAATTAAAAAAAAAAGAAAAGAAGGTAAAGAAAATAATAGTGTTGTGCTTTCTTTTTCATCAAAAATTTCTTACATTTTATCAGCGAATCGCATTCGGTGCGCGACCATATGACGGAATACACGTATTAACGGTGCAAAGTTATATATATATGTATATATATATATATATATGTATATATATACGAAAAATTTTGATCAATAAATTTAAGTAGGAATTAAAAAAAAGAAAAAAAAACGAAAAATTATTTTAAATAAAAAAAAAAAAAGAAAGAAAACGTAATTTGAAAATTAGTTTTTTAAAAAAAGAACTAAACTCAATCAATATATATATATATATATAAATGAAGAAAATCTATTTTATTATTATCATATATATGTAAATGCAATATATAATGAAATGAACGTTAATACAACAGCACAAAAACCGTTGTTGGAGGCTTGAAGTGAGTGCAAGAAATTACCGCTTGGTATAAAATTATAAATAGATAAACGCAGATAAATCTAAACAATTATCAGCACTTTTCTAACAAGTGAAACCGGATAATAGAGAAGAAAAAGAAAAAATATATATATAACAACAACAACAACAACAGCAGCAGCCACAACAACTACAACACCGACAACGCTTATAATTCTTCATCTAATGGCACAAGTGTGTGAAATATAATTAAATTTGTAATCAATAATTGAAAAAAAATATTAAATAATTTTTTTAATTTTTTAAAGGTAATTTTTTTAAAATTTTTTTCACATTAATTTTTAATACTCGAACAATAAGTCTTTTTTATTCATTGTGAACTTCCATTACTAAATGCACGCATTTCATCATTTTGTCGATTTTACAAGGCATCGCTGGTTTAATTCATTAAATCTTTATCACAATTTTTTGTTTGCGAAATAAAAAAAACCTTTTTTTTTTTTTTAACTTTCTCCATTACGTTGAAAAGATTGACTAAAAAGACTTTTTACAAGTTTTCATTTCTTTGGGTTTTCTTAAAATAAATTAAAAAGATTAACTATCCACCACCACTACATTCACAATCATTCACTTCCTAATAATTTATACCAGAAATGTACTTTTAATATATGGAAGTTTTTCAAGCATATCGTTCGCCGGCCACCGTTAATAAAGTTTATTTACTAATAAATATAATTTTAACGGTAATTTCCTAGTGTGATATAAATCAAGCAAATTCATTATGAAAATCTATTGCACGAATCAAATTTGTTTTAATTAATAGAAACACAATTATTCGAAATTTCGCTTTGAAAATGTAGAAAAAAAAAAGAAGATGTTAGTCGTTATTTATCGTTTAACATTTAAAAACAAAGAATTTGTTCTAACCGATCGATGAGCGCGCGCTTTCATAACACATTAGAAGTTCGCCGGGAAATTAAAAAAAAAAAAAGCGAGTAAGATGGGGTGGGTGAAAGCTATACCATAAATCGATATCCGGACGGATGGACGGACGGACGGACATGCTTAAATTGATTCAGAATTTAACATTGATCAAGAGTGTATGGTCGCTTGACAAGAAAACCACATTAATCAGTTAACTAATCACTCTTTACCGATATACTCGTGTACTCGGCAAAAGCAGTTTAAGTTGTAATAGAACGACACGACAAGATGACAGAAATCTTTTCTAAAATGCAATACTTTGCCTAACGCGCATCCGTAATGATAAAATTCTTTGAGAAAATCCGACAAGGTATAGATAGATGGATTATGACTTATATATTCATAGGCAGTTGACTAGTTGAGGACTTTTTCACTATCAATCTGTCGCAACATCCTATGCAATTGGTGAAGTTTAACCATTTTAAATGAGTACATCGGATCGTTTAATGGACATGAGGAGTTTTTACTTTTGATAGATTTCTTGAAAAGTATGCGACTTAGTAATGAAAAGTCATTTTACCCTCAATGTGTATTTAGTGAGTCTTTGAATGAGGAACGATATATAAAAGACAACTGTTCTAAAGCCTTCTTTTGAGTATTGTAATATGAATGCACCTCTAAGCTTCACTGATGTGTACAAAACTTCTCTTTTATCTTTAAGTTCTGTAAGATAAAAAGCGAAGTAAACTTTCGGATCAATCAACTGATGGCTTGGATAATGTAATGTAAATGAAATTGTTTCAGTTTTTATAAAAGGGTTAAACTTTGCAACCATGTCATCCAAGCGCAAGAATTCAATATTACAAGTGCAAGATTACTCCATGAGACTATCGAATTATTAAAACTGATTTGTGCATTAAAAGCTTAGACGAGTGATGCGGCCCGTCACGAATTCTTTATAAGAAATGGATCTGTCTAGAAATCTAGTTTTATGAACTTCTGCTCTTTGCTTCTTTAGCAAATATTACAACTGGATGCTGTTTGTAGTCGAATGGGTCGGGAGATCATCAAGGAGAACTCATCTACCAAATACGCCTTGCATCGTCAACGAGAAGAACGACTTTTCAATATCGTCCCCTAGGATATAAAAAGGTGTGGATTATCAAACTACAAATATGCACAAAGCAACCATTGTCGCTACATCTAATCCAAAGGCATTCCGCTACTCGCTCTGAACTAATACATATATGCTTCATATGGTCTTTACTATTGCTGACCGTTGTAAACTTTTGAGAAATTTAAAATTTCAGACTTTCAACAAAATATAAAAAATTTACTTTTTCTAATGAAAACAAGAAACTTCAACGACAAGCACACCCAAACAACGCTTAGCTAAGTTATTACTTTTTAAATTTCTAAAAACTCGAAAAGTTTTTTTCTTAAGTCTTTTGTCTTGTCAAACATTACTTTTTCTTAGCACGTGTATAGCGGCTTTTGCTTGTTGCATAAAATGCTCGTGAGATAGAAAAGTGATTGAGTACGTTTGCTTATTTAAATAAGGGAAAGTTCTGTTGTCGTACCAACAACAAAAAATACAACAATGAAGTCATTACTCATCTAAGAAATTTAAGATTAAATTTCTGCAAAGAAATCTTACTGTTGACCTTCACTGGCTAAATTTTTCAAACAAATATTAAAAAATTAACAGAGCAAACTGCATTTTGTGATACATTATACTATATGGTGGCTACAAAATGCATTTGATTTTTAATAGCGTGTTAATGTTAAAAACATTTTATGAAAAGTTTAAAAATTTATTTTTGAGTCTTTCCGTCTTTCTTTTATTTTTTCTTTTAAAGCTAATTTGGTATAAATTTCTTTTAATTTACTTTATGCCATAAAAGATTAAATATTTTCCATTATAGAATCGAACCTTTTTTTTAGGCTCATATAAGTCTTCCGGCATCTACTAGATACAGGAAGTGACTGAGCAGTTAATAGCTGAATGGACGAGACATATAAGATTATGATGCTTGAAAGATTCGGTTGGGGAAGTTCCAATGCTTCCAATGTTACTTTGCAGAGTTTTCACACCAAGAAGCGGGAACTAATTTAGGGACTTTCTAACAGCTTCATAGTGGATAAAAAAAAACACAGCTTTTTATTTCAATTTAACAAAAATAATAAACTTGTGTTTACCTTAACGAGTCATATAAAAAAAAAAAAAATAATAATAATAATAGTGTAAGGTTTTCCTTTAATAAGCAAGTCTTTGCACGTAAAAAAAAAAAAAAAGTGTATATATGTACATAGTCTGCGTTTCTATCTGCATATTCGGCATATATTTATTTTTCCTTGAGAAAACTTTACCTTAAAGTTTTCAAAAATTGCAAGAGAAACCTAACAGCAAACTAGGTTTAAGGGGAGAAATATCTTATCGCATTCCCGACATTTATTTCCTAATACAACAATGGTAGCTAGATATTAAGAAGGTATTCCGGCATAGTATATATAGTAATAGACTAATAGTCCAGCGTTGACACTTGTTGACTTAAAAGCATGCATGCGTTGAACAGTTCATGCAAAACTATTCTACACGTGACTGATCGCTACGAACTAGTCTAACTGCGGTTCTTGTCTTCGCTAAATTAGAATCACTAATCTCGCACATAATTATTGCACAAAACCTTGAAAACATTTTTATAACATTCATCATCGTAGAGGAGAAACGATATAGAATTGTTCATAGGATGTGGAAGCTTTTAATTAATTTTCTTTTTTTGATTTTTTACTTTTGAAATATCGTTTAATTTTGTAAACCGCTCGTGATCGTAAAAACTGCAATAAATAATCATTTTGACTATTAACCAATAAATAAAGTCTACATCGATATGTGGTTATTAGCCAACTGTGCTACAAATTACCGCTTTTCTTGTTCCGACTATTTCTGCATGATTTTCATATGCATTATGCATATATATGGCGTGCATTCCTCATAACAATAAGTTTTTAGTATCTTATATATACGAACATGTGTGTGTGTGTGTGTGTGTGTGTGAATATATGTGAATGTGTAACTATGAACGCGTGCGTTTACGTGCGCGAGCAGTATGTATGTATTCATGTTTGTTCATTCAAGTAGTATATTGCCCTGTTTTCTTACATACAGCCTAGAGAGAGTATATTAAGTTTTTCAAACGCTTATTAAAAAGTATTTATACAAGATATCAGATTAATATGAAATGTTTGTTCTTTTAAGACGAACCGACAGCTACAGTAGTTCCTTACTTTCCCGTATGCCGAGACACTTTCCGCACCGCTTTATCTGCAAGGTTGGTCAAAAAAAAAAAAATAAATAAAATTTGTGTGTTAGTATGAATAAATGTACTAATGTCTGTCTGTCAGTCCATATTTTCAAGTTATAATTACGATTTCAAAACTAGGCTTAGAATTTCCGAATACTTTCTCATATTTTCCTCGAATCGAGCTTCAGTAAGTGCGCTAAGTTAGCAAGAAGCTGCACTCGAAGTGACTTCGCTAGTGTTGCGCATGTCGTATGATATAATATTCATTCCGTTACTTGTACCTTATGTTGTTTCACTTCAGTTATCCTTTGTCAAGCATAACACTCTTTATCTATATTATGTCATATATATATATTGTTTTTGTTTTTTCATTTGAAAATCATCGAAGGTAACAAACTGTGCTTTTGCGCTATAGCCCACAATTTTAATATTCTAATATGTGTACTTTGTTGTCTATGTACGCAGACACGTTAAGTTCAGAGTCTATTGTGCTTCAAAAAACAACAAATTAATGGCTGTAGAAGCTTAAAGTTTTATTTCATATAAATCATATGACATTTCTCTTACATGGCATGTTACTTTCACGATAAGACTGGTATTTTTTTTTTTTTTTTTTTTTTTTTAATGAAGTGTGTTAGAGCATGCAGTGTAAGCTATACATAATTTGATTCTTTTCATAATTCCTGTTCGTGGCTTAGTATTCGATTATGTACACATGAATCTGAATTGATTTTCGTGTGTGATTTATTATAAAATCATTTTTTTTTTTTTTTTTTTTTCTATATCATACGCGGTTGTTGTCTGGCTAAGCCGTTATATTTCTTTTACATAATATTATAATAATGGTAACGTGTTATAGATAAGAAAAGGAGTAGAAGAGATAAAGAAAGTTAAATGAATAAATTTATAATGTAATTAGTGTAGCGAATAAGTAAAAGATTTACGGGAAAAATTTTGTTATGACAGCAAATTTAATCTAAAAACAAGTAAGAAAGTTATATATACCTCAGGGAAAATATTGGATAACTATCACCTTAGGTAGTTTGTAGCTTTTCAGAGAATGGGAAAGAGAAAGAGAG